GTGTGTGTGTGTGTGTGCGTGTGTGTGTGCATGTGTGTGTGTTTCTAGATTAATCATCAAATCGTTAAATTTTTCTGGGAATGTAGAATCATCAGACAGTCAGACAATAGAACTGTCATTGCCATTCTGGGCACTGAGATGCCAAAGAGATGCCAAGATTGAAAAAAATAAATAAATATAATAATAATAATAACAATAATAATAAAAAGATTACAAAAAAAGACTAAATTCATGCATGTTTTTTTTTTTCTGTTTCCATCTATTTTGTAGGTATTAATCGGTTACTTGGCAACAGCACATATGAGGCAGCATTTCCTCCACATGAGGTAAAATAACTTAAATGTATTGCCAGTCACAAGACAGTTTTTTTTTTTGTTTTTTTTTTTTACCTTTATTTGGTTACTGTTGAAGTGTTCGTAGATATATGGACAACTTTGTTATTGTATTTTTAGGGAAGTTATAAAAGCAGACATCCAATTAAAACCCATGGAGCTCAAAACCACAGACACCTTCTGTACGAAAGATGGGCGCGCTGGGGGATCTGGTACAAATACCAGCCTCTAGACCTCATACGGTAAGATACACACATACACACACAAAAAAATCTGGACACATCTATTCATATATCTTTGTATATATTTATATACAATATATACCAATATTCGAATATTTACTATGCTGTCTAATACATACTGTACATTTGTGTGTGATAGTGTATATATGTGTGTGTGTGTGTGTGTGTGTGTCTTTAATCTAATTAATTAATCTAATTTATCAATATTGTCAAATTAAGTCAATATTGTGTTACATGAGAAAAGCATTGAATAGACATTACAAAAAGTAGATTTAGAAAGAAATATTTAGATTCAATATTTTTTTTATGAATATTGAAACATTCAATTAAAAGAAAGAAAGAAAGAAAGAAAGAAAGAAAGAAAGAAAGAAAGAAAGAAAGAAAGAAAGAAAGAAAGAAAGAAAGAAAGAAAGAAAGAAATGATACTCTAAATATGAAACTAATACCACCAATAGGTGGCGGCAAGTCACTGTTTTAATGAATGAGTCATTCAGTTTTTCATTCAACCCATTTGTTCAAATGGCTGAATCATTCAGAAACAAAGCAAGTAACAAAACACAGCTGTGTGTTGATCTGAAAGGCACACATTGCAGTGGCTTTGTTTGGAAATATTTTTGTTTGTGAAACTGAGCAAAACAGACAGTATTGACAATATTGTGTCTAAAATGTTTCTGTTTTTTTTTTTAAGTATTGTAAAAATAAATAATCGTTTTCACATTTGCAATCATATTCGGGGAAAAACACCATTCTTGCTCATGTGATATTGCTAAACTATATCATATGATATAAATATAAGACAAAAACCCATGCAGGGCCTTTTTTTTTTT